TTATGACTATATTCGAGAAGTCTCGGTATTATATTATGATGAATCAATGAATGGCGAGGTAGACGTAATGTGAGAATGTTGTTCAGATCGAATGAGATCATGAAATTAAGTGCTGTTTGTCAATGCTACCTTCGACATGGATATCCTTCGTTGCAGACGCTTGACTATTGCTACCCTTGCAAGTGTATACGCCTGCATTACCAGTGCCGACGGCCGGATGTCTGATGAACATCTCGGATATGGTGACTGGCTTGAAATCATCTGGCAAATCACCACGTTCTGGTCCCGGATCACTGTAAAAGAGACATGCTCATCAAAATTGTTGGCTATGTTACTAACTGAAAGAAACATTGGAGGCAAAAACTAACTGCAGCCATTCAACTTCAGGTGTCGGTTCACCGAATGCTTCGCATTTTACTTCGAGTGGTTCGCCAGCAGTCAGCACAATCCTTGGACCCGGTGGAGTGGTTCTGACAGTAAGTGATGGTCCAATATTCACAGATCCATGATCTGATGCCTCGCCAAGAATGTTCACAGCCGTACACGTGTAATCACCGTTCAGGTCGACACGTCCATTCGAAAAGTCCAGCACACCTCCACCGATATCGTTCACCTCATCAGGTAGTGGTCCACCCTCAGGACCAGACCATGTGATCTCGGGTTGTGGTACGCCGCTAGCAATGCAACGGAACTGATGACGATCTCCTGGTTTACCGTTCCATACGCGAGGCACCACACGCGCGGTTGGTGGTTCTTCATCTGTAGATGATAGACTATGAACGATAAATTCAATATGGTCAGATCAATCAGTGACTGAAGTTGGTATTCAATTCCAAAAAAACAGGCCGATCACTTATAGTGTTGGAGGAGGCGTAGAGGGCCGCTTGAACCAGTAAACAAATTGCTATTCTATAAAAGTCACTGTAATGAAAAGGCGCCGATTTTGTTTCATTAGTTACAAAATTTTGACAGTTTGAAGTGAGACCAGGTTGGCGGTTCTGAATATGCATAACTTGCGCTAAAATCANATTCAGTGCTGCTCAAATAAATGCTTTTCAACCTATTTAATAAACAATTAATGTCACGATTTCCATACTTTCGCTAACATGAAGTCGTACAGGTGCCGCATCAGCTGATCCAAACTCGTTCGTAGCCGTACAGATGTATTCACCAGCATTCGACTCATCTGCCGATCTTACGATAATATCATCTCCTTCTTGAACAACATCACCTCTCAACGGACCATTCGGCTCTCTATAGCCCCAGGTGACACGAGCCGGCGTTTCACTGTTCGGATCACAATGGAAGCGTGCCGGTTCACCAACGCCAACTGTTTGATCAGTCGGACTTGCTTCAGGACGTGGTGGAGCACCAGCTGTAAGGAGGACAGTTTTCACAACAAGGTAAAATCAGTTCCATGCAAAAAAGGATGTGTATGCGCTTAGGTGAAACAGGATGTATGCATTCATGGCATTAAGTGTTAAGTTTCTGCTCATCACTGAAAGGCGTTCAGTACGATATGCTGTTTCACTATTGCAGTAAATCTTAAAAATCAAACTAAAAGTTTTGCTGGACTGAAGATACTCTAGAAAGCTAATCGAGACAGTTCACAATTCAGAAATGGACCAAATACAAATGAAAACATACGCCTCGAGACGACATTCAGTCTGGCCGGTTCAGAATGCAACGATCCTTGTGGAGCATCGTATGTGCAATAATACTCTCCATGATGCGATTGATCTGCACGTTGAATTGTCAATACGCCGTGATCGTCTTGTACGTATGGTGGTAACGCACCATCAGGACGATCATAACTCCATCTCAATCTAGCGTTACGTTCACCTGGTACATAGCATCTGAATCTGACCGGTTCACCTTCGTTTGCCGTTTGTTCCGGCGGATCGATTATGGGTCGTTCACTCGCTGAATCAACTTTCCTCATTATTAACATTTTATCATCGAACAGAAAGGAACTTTTTACCGCTTTCCACCGTTGCCTGAGCCGTTTCTCAATACTTTAATGATCAAACAGTTCTTCATGATATCGGTGAACCGATTTCGAATGAGTGATGTGTTATGTTTACTGTTATCGTATTCAACGTACTCGTATCTTTCGCTTCAACCAGTTTAGATATTGCATTATGGATGGTCATTGCATGCAAACTTTCAATCGTTACATTGCCATGTTAAACATTACTGACTACGCTACTGGTTCATCGCGAATGCTGTAGAAGCAACATATTGCGATAACGTCTGACGACAACAGTCATCAAAACTCAACCGATGATAATCGGATCGGAGGCTGATTAAATGTATTGTTGATTAAACAGATATCTATCTGTTGAACATATCAACATTATTATTGTCGTTCGATACAATATCACAAATTCACGAAGGTATTGATCAAGTCAACTTTCGAACACAGATGTATGGAAGTTTAACACAGGCATACAGGAACTCTTGAATGAAAAAAAACCCAAATAAGAAGTGAATAATCGCAGTTTTGGCGAGAACGAGATTGAATGCTAAGTTCACCGACTTCAGTATCATGCATACTTGATTCATAACTAAAGAAGACGTTCGCAAGAAAACCGATGGAGAATAAAGAATCTGATGGATTTGAAAATTGGAGTGGATTAGAACGATATATTAACACAGAGTGCAAAAACTAGTCCAGTGAAAACCGATTAGTTTCAAAAAGAAAACAAACAAATGCATCCAAACAAACAATCAATGAATTCACATACAGTGCTCGACAAAAAGGATTGCAGGCGTGGAAATAACCACATGACCAAGTTGAGGGTTTGATATCAAACACACATAGTTACCCTCATCTGAAGACTTCGTTTTCGGTATCGTCAATAACATTCCCTTGCGGCCTTTAGTGTCATGCTCCGAAAGTTCAGTGAGAGAAGCATCCGCATTCAGTTCCCCATCCTCTTTGTACCACACCATTGTCCATCCGTTGTGCCCTTCTTCTGGATACAAACAACGAAATTGCGTTCGCTCATTAAGCCGCACAGTTTGCATTGGTGGAACAATTTCGAGCAAGAGTGGTGCTGGAAAGAGAAAGCAAAAATGGTGCTGGAAACAAAGAGGGTCTTATGTTCGCGTGCATAATCATCATGGTGAATCACAAAATCATGCTGTTGATCAGAAAGAAAATTTTGAAGTTATCAAGAAATATGAATTGAGAGCAGTGCTTCGATGACCCCGAGACAAGTCATCATTTCGTGTTTTGAAACCGGTATTAACCACCGTTTCTTATGGAATGGTTCAAGTGTTTGTGTTGAATGAACTGAAATATGGCCACACAAACAGTACGAAACCAGAACATCAAATTTGAACTAAATAAAAGGAGTTTCGAAAACATCAAATTTGAACTAAATAAAAGGAGTTTCGAAAAACTGAAACACCATAACATCCTCATGTGCAAAACAGTAAAATAAATTTTGGAAGAAACTGTGCAGAAACGAAAACCTACAGATTAATGCTTCACTGTGTGCAGGTGCATAATTAAGCTTCTGGCTGGAATGATCATTATCTGGAAATAGATCAGAACAAAATGATCAGAATATCGCATCGATGAAGTCGACACTGGATGATAACAGTTTCTCTACAGGGCATTTTTTACTCCTTGGAAGCTATATGATAGTATGGCGTAGAGTGATTGCACTGAACTGGAAATATTTGTAAGTTATAGAAAAAACTGAGGGTGCAAAGAGTGCAAAGAACATAC